CAGAAAATAACATTTAAAGCAATTTATAACCCAACATAATTTTTTGTTTTATATATACCTATGAATTTTACTGTGTTTCAGTTAAGTTTTAAGAAGCTATTAATGATCTTATAATGTATTATAATTTTTTCCAATTAAAAATAGTGGAAAATATTCCATTAGTGTTTCCAGATGGAACCTCTGATTTTCAAGAGTAGATTACTGATGTTAAGCAGGAAATGCCTGTATAGTATTACTATTATACCATTTTACAAATGAGTCCCAACCAGATTAAGTCACTTGCCCAAACTCCCAGAGCTTGGAGGTGGAGCAGTCCTGGCATTCCGGCTCTAGAGGCTTGTTCTAACCATCAGGAGATACTGCCTCCATTGCCATCCTGGTTCTCCCACACAAATCGTGTGTGCCTTGGGTCCGCATTTCTCAAAGTTCTTGATCAATAGGTTATTAGGCTGGATTATTAGTAGATTAGTATGTTACCTACAAGGAAGTTCTATGGCTAATTAGATTTCGGAAGTGCTACATTTAACAAAATAAAATGTGTTACTTTACTTTTCCAAGCCAAATGTGCACTGTGATTCTCTAAGTTTGGTAGGTAAAGAAGTTTGTTTGGTAGCACTTTCCAGACTTATTTGTTTGAGNCAGTTATTTGGGGGTTAAAAATACTTATTAATATTATGAGACAATAAAAATAATAATATGATGACATAATATTCTGCCAAATAATGATAAAATTTTAACTGGATATTAATACAATAAATATAAGTTGATTATTTTTGTGCCAGGTATTTGACATGTATGATTGCATTCAATCTTCCTCAGAACACTGTGAAGTACAGGCCCACTCCACAGAATATCTTTGTGGTTAACATTTTCCCAGTAGAAAGTCTCTTCATTTTTCATAACCAAATCTCATAGAACATACTTATTCTTCAATACAACATTTTTGTGAGTCCCCTTTCAAAGGTGAAAAAGGTCTGAGAAAACTGTGGAAAAAATAAAGTCAGTGAGAAAAGTGTTTACAACAGAAGAGAACATGTTACTTAATACAAAGAAACTTTTTGTTAATAACTATATAGTTATAATCAGAAAATAACATTTAAAGCAATTTATAACCCAACATAATTTTTTGTTTTATATATACCTANCTTGGGAGTAGGCAAAAACTCCTTAGAAAGAATATGTGAAACAATAACAATTTTAAAAATTGACAAGCTACACTTAAAATTTTAAGCTTCTGTTTGTTAAAAGACACATTAAAAGGAAATTCATAGGCAAGCCACAGACTGGGAGAAACATATATTAACAAAGGACTTAAATCCAAAATATACAAAGAACTCATATAACCCAATAACAAAAGAAACTAATTTTAAATGAGCAAAAAGTCCTAGTCTGTAATGATTGCCTGCTTCACTGATGCAAATAGTTTCAATTTAATAGAGTTAATGGCTTTAAAAAAAAAAATAAAGTAGGAAGAGTTGATTTAAACAAAGGGAGTGGGGGCAGGGGTAATATGCATCACATACTAAAAGGCTGCTGGCAAGCACCACCTGGTGGCAAAGATTTTGAATTGCAGCTTGAGCTTTTTCTTTTTTTGAAGGCAAATAAAGAGAAATTTTGAAGACTGAATCTGCAAAAAATCTGTACACAATAAGAAATTCTAATTTAAAAAATGGCCAAATTCAAATTTACCACAGTAAAACCAAACCAAAAGAAGAAAATCTATTCAGTTATTTGGGGGTTAAAAATACTTATTAATATTATGAGACAATAAAAATAATAATATGATGACATAATATTCTGCCAAATAATGATAAAATTTTAACTGGATATTAATACAATAAAT